AAAAAAAATGAGTAGTTTACTTCACTCCAGGGGATATTCGTGTCCGAATAAAATACGAACATCTCAAATAATTCGAATTTCGATATTCGAATATTCAAAAAAACGCGTTTATTCGATTATCAAGCGAATATTTCCTAACATTCGAATATTCTAGTTCGGATGGTTTGGAACTGAGATTCGAATAATATTCGATCATTCGAATGTCTGCGAAATCATCGAGTAGCTGTTCGGTCAAATATCTGCGACATCATCGAATATGATTGAGATTGCGTAATATGCTTGACTGAAGTGTTCGAGTAATTTTTTGCCATTCGTGCAGTCACTCGAAAAAACGCACTAATTCTGTTATTCGAATATTCGAATATTCGGTCATGACCAATTATTCGATAAATCGAGTAGTCATCCAAGATCCTCGATTCGAATATTAAATGGCGTCTCGGAAAAATTCATTCGTCCAAATATTTTTATTACGGACGAATATCTGATAGTCATTCATTCAAAAAATTTTCCAATTTTTCAACTATGAAGGTGACTACGGAGTTAATTGCACACTTTTGGCTTGCGAGATGCATTGGATTTTCATAGAAACCCTCAAACAACATAAATGAGTGTGATTGCGAATGATTTCATGCAGATTCTCTAGCTTTGTGGACTATTATGCTAGCAGTGCAATTAGATCTACAGATCGGCTACTTAGCTTATTGGTACTACTAAAACAACGGAAGCAGGCTGCGCACTACCGTGCACTGGCGGTGAAGCGAGGATAAGTTTATCTCTTTCATATGCGACATTTGTGAGGGCGGGAGGACAAAATTTAGCCTAAGAGAAGGATAGGTACGGTCACTGTTCTTTTCCCTCTTTAAGCTCTGAAGATGACGGTTACTCTTAACATTAGGCTACTGATACAGCTTCACCACAAAAGCTGCGTGTTGACATAGAATTGACCTATCTATGTAGACGAGACAACTTTGCAATATGACAGACTGTAAACATCAGAAAAGAAAGGAAAAAAATAATTTTCTTCATCTGTTCCCTTTTTCTATTATAGTTCATTCTGTTTCGAGCATGTACTCTCTGAGTTCAGCAATGAGCTTTCTTTTAATTGCCATTATATACAAATAGCGAAGAGTTCTATAAAGTGGGCGAGAGCTTGAGGTTCGTCATTGATTGCATTCAACGTAGCTTCTCTGTAGTAGTGAACAGCTTCGTAATATAGAAAACACTGTCATCTTAAACTCGTAAGCATGAGAATCCCTCATGCCATCCTGCTGCTGATCCATAATTAGCTGGTAAATAATCAAACGCTCTAATAACACAGTTTTAACTGCTCCAATAACTTTGTCCATCCCATATACTAAGAAAGATCATAATGAAGAGCTAAAATGCGCCCTGACCACGGTCTGCAGGCGTCCTTGCTAGTTTGCGTTGTTCCATGAGACACGCCTTCCGCAGCCGGTTGTAACTATGAATACAAGTTACGGATTCCATCCTTATATTCATAAACTTATTTTTAGATATCTCCTCCAACGGCAGCTGGTTTATTGTACGCATTTGGTCTGAATGGTCATTTGCCCAATTTCAATACGTTTCATGTCCATGAAGTACTGGCTTCTCTTGATAAGTTCCCTTCAATTGCACTACTACTTGGCATGGCAATGTCAAAAATTGGAACAGCAGATCGCCAGGTCAGTTTGTACACGTTCAGCGCTTCAGTTTTCAACTTGATTTTTTCAAACTCTCTATCAGTGTTAGCAAAACTCATTTATTGGTCAAGCTTAATGGACAATCATCAGTACATAATTACCCGGTCAAATATCTTACCCGGCAAAGATAATCAGCCCATAATGAAAGCACTTCACAGCATATAAAATTAATACGTTATTCAACATATTATAATTTGACACAGAAATATGATAATATGGCAATAAAAATATACTTCTTAACCGTAATCAGTATAGGAATGAAACGTTTTTACAATCCCATTGAATGTACTCATTGCGAACAATTCAATTTTCTATTTTAGCACGTTTCAGTGGCTCAGAATTATCCATTTTCTTAGATCGTCTTTCTAAAAGGGAAGAGAATAGCAGCGTTATTTGTTAATCTAAATTACATTTTGCTTACTTGTTGGAGTAGATAACCAAGGATGTTTCAACAGCTCTTTTGCGGTTGGTCGCAATTCTTCATCGACTACCAGCGTGTCTCGCACAATAGCTAAAGAATATTATTTCAAGCTTATGATTTGATGAAGCTAAATATACTTGCAAAAGTGCAAGCCTGACTCTTGCAATCATAATTGACAATTTTCTTCCGATTTCCTCTCCGACCTACCCAGTGTATCACTGTCCAAATTTTTTAGAACTGGTGGGACTTCGCCTTTAAGCCACATAGCGTAGGCAGGGTCACTGCTGCAAAGAAAAGCTTTAACCGATATATCTATTACTTTGTTGGCAAGAGATTACTGACCAAGTTGCTCTGTCCCACGGCAAATCTCCCGTAAGCATAACTAC